TAATTGTGAGAATTTCTATTTTTGTTTTTCTGTCGAATTTCATAACTTGAATTGAAATGCAGTATGTTAAAAAATATGGGCTCGTCCGGGAGTTGAACCCGGGACCTCTCGCACCCTAAGCGAGAATCATGCCCCTAGACCAACGAGCCAGACATACGCTCCACAAACGTATGGATTGTCGGAAAATAATTTATAAATATCTCTTTTCTAAAAGTGTGCAAAGGTTGCCTTATTGATGCAAGTCGAATCTTCAGCAGCCATTTTTCTAAGTTTGGTAAAATTATGGGCTCGTCCGGGATTTGAACCCGCGACCTCTCGCACCCAAAGCGAGAATCATACCCTTATACCAGCGAGCCGATTCTGACTAATGAGTTAGGAGAGAAATAAAAAAAATCAGTTTTATTCAGTTTTGCGACTCAATTGACAAGTTTTAAAATAGTATTTAGCAAATCTTTATACAATTCCATTTCAGGGTAATGATTCAGTAAACAAAATTAAAAACTCATCTTTAAACTTTCGAGAAAACTAACAGCCACAGCGAGTGACCATATTTGTGATTTACTGCCTTGCACTGCAGGGAATTCCCCATTTCATTGCCATTATTGTCTACTTGTTGGCACATTCCGATGTGGTCGCAAAATCCCCGGTCAATATAATTGTGAGAATTTCTATTATTGTTTTTCTGTCGAATTTCATAACTTGAATTGAAATGAAGGCATCATAATGCAATATGTTAAAAATTATGGGCTCGTCAGGGAGTTGAACCCGGGACCTCTCGCACCATAAGCGAGAATCATGCCCCTAGACCAACAAGCCAGACATACATTCAACAAGCGTATGGATTGTCGGAAAATAATTTATAAATATCTCTTTTCTAAAAGAGTTCAAAGGTTGCCTTATTGATGCAAGTCGAATCTTCAGCAGCCATTTTTCTAAATTTGGTAAAATTAGGGGCTCGTCCGGGATTTGAAACCGAGACCTCTCGCACCCAAAGCGAGAATCATACCCCTAGACCAACGAGCCGATTCTGACTAATGAGTTAGGAGAGAAATTTTAAAAAATCAGTTTTATTAGTTTTGCGACTCAATTGACAAGTTTTAAAATAATATTTAGCAAATCATTATACAATTCCATTTCAGGGTAATGATTCAGTAAACGAAATCAAAAACTCATCTTTAAACTTTCGAGTAAACTAACAACCAAAGCGAGTGACCATATTTGTGATTTACTGCCTTGCACTGCAGGGAATTCTCCATTTCATTGCCATGATTGTCTACTTGTTGGCACATTCCGATGTGGTCGCAAAATCCCCGGTCAGTATAATTGTGAGAATTTCTATTTTTGCTTTTCTGTCGAATTTCATAACTTGAATTGAAATGCAGGCATCATAATGCAGTATGTTAAAAAATATGGGCTCGTCCGGGAGTTGAACCCGGGACCTCTCGCACCCTAAGCGAGAATCATGCCCCTAGACCAACGAGCCAGACATACGCTCCACAAACGTATGGATTGTCGGAAAATAATTTATAAATATCTCTTTTCTAAAAGTGTGCAAAGGTTGCCTTATTGATGCAAGTCGAATCTTCAGCAGCCATTTTTCTAAGTTTGGTAAAATTATGGGCTCGTCCGGGATTTGAACCCGCGACCTCTCGCACCCAAAGCGAGAATCATACCCTTATACCAACGAGCCGATTCTGACTAATGAGTTAGGAGAGAAATAAAAAAAAATCAGTTTTATTCAGTTTTGCGACTCAATTGACAAGTTTTAAAATAGTATTTAGCAAATCTTTATACAATTCCATTTCAGGGTAATGATTCAGTAAACAAAATTAAAAACTCATCTTTAAACTTTCGAGAAAACTAACAGCCAAAGCGAGTGACCATATTTGTGATTTACTGCCTTGCACTGCAGGGAATTCCCCATTTCATTGCAATTATTGTCTACTTGTTGGCACATTCCGATGTGGTCGCAAAATCCCCGGTCAGTATAATTGTGAGAATTTCTATTATTGTTTTTCTGTCGAATTTCATAACTTGAATTGAAATGAAGGCATCATAATGCAATATGTTAAAAATTATGGGCTCGTCAGGGAGTTGAACCCGGGACCTCTCGCACCCTAAGCGAGAATCATGCCCCTAGACCAACAAGCCAGACATACATTCAACAAGCGTATGGATTGTCGGAAAATAATTTATAAATATCTCTTTTCTAAAAGAGTTCAAAGGTTGCCTTATTGATGCAAGTCGAATCTTCAGCAGCCATTTTTCTAAATTTGGTAAAATTAGGGGCTCGTCCGGGATTTGAAACCGAGACCTCTCGCACCCAAAGCGAGAATCATACCCCTAGACCAACGAGCCGATTCTGACTAATGAGTTAGGAGAGAAATTTTTAAAAATCAGTTTTATTAGTTTTGCGACTCAATTGACAAGTTTTAAAATAATATTTAGCAAATCATTATACAATTCCTTTTCAGGGTAATGATTCAGTAAACGAAATCAAAAACTCATCTTTAAACTTTCGAGTAAACTAACAACCAAAGCGAGTGACCATATTTGTGATTTACTGCCTTGCACTGCAGGGAATTCTCCATTTCATTGCCATGATTGTCTACTTGTTGGCACATTCCGATGTGGTCGCAAAATCCCCGGTCAGTATAATTGTGTGAATTTCTATTTTTGTTTTTCTGTCGAATTTCATAACTTGAATTGAAATGCAGGCATCATGATGCAGTATGTTAAAAAATATGGGCTCGTCCGGGAGTTGAACCCGGGACCTCTCGCACCCTAAGCGAGAATCATGCCCCTAGACCAACGAGCCAGACATACGCTCCACAAACGTATGGATTGTCGGAAAATAATTTATAAATATCTCTTTTCTAAAAGTGTGCAAAGGTTGCCTTATTGATGCAAGTCGAATCTTCAGCAGCCATTTTTCTAAGTTTGGTTAAATTATGGGCTCGTCCGGGATTTGAACCCGCGACCTCTCGCACCCAAAGCGAGAACCATACCCTTATACCAACGAGCCGATTCTGACTAATGAGTTAGGAGAGAAATAAAAAAAAAATCAGTTTTATTCAGTTTTGCGACTCAATTGACAAGTTTTAAAATAGTATTTAGCAAATCTTTATACAATTCCATTTCAGGGTAATGATTCAGTAAACAAAATTAAAAACTCATCTTTAAACTTTCGAGAAAACTAACAGCCAAAGCGAGTGACCATATTTGTGATTTACTGCCTTGCACTGCAGGGAATTCCCCATTTCATTGCCATTATTGTCTACTTGTTGGCACATTCCGATGTGGTCGCAAAATCCCCGGTCAGTATAATTGTGAGAATTTCTATTATTGTTTTTCTGTCGAATTTCATAACTTGAATTGAAATGCAGGCATCATAATGCAATATGTTAAAAAATGTTGGCTCGTCTGGGATTTGAACCTGAGACCTCTCGCACCCAAAGCGAGAATCATACCCCTAGACCAACGACCGATTCTGTCTAATAAGTTAAGAAAAATTAAAAAAAATCAGTTTTGTTCAGTTTTGCGACTCAATTGACAAGTTTTAAAATAGTATTTAGCAAATATTTATACAATTCCATTTCAGGGTAATGATTCAGTAAACGAAATCAAAAACTGATCTTTAAATTTCGAGTAAACTAACAGCCAAAGCGAGTGACTATATTTGTGATTTACTGCCTTGCACTGCAGGGAATTCTCCATTTCATTGCCATGATTGTCTACTTGTTGGCACATTCCGATGTGGTCGCAAAATCCCCGGTCAATATAATTGTGAGAATTTCTATTTTTGTTTTTCTGTCAAATTTCATAACTTGAATTGAAATGCAGGCATCATAATGCAATATGTTAAAAAATATGGGCTCGTCCGGGAGTTGAACGCGGGACCTCTCGCACCCTAAGCGAGAATCATGCCCCTAGACCAACGAGCCAGACATACATTCAAGAAACGTATGTATAGGTCGGAAAATAATTTATAAATATCTCTTTTCTAAAAGTGTTCAAAGGTTGCCTTATTGATGCAAGTCGAATCTTCAGCAGCCATTTTTCTAACTTTGGTAAAATTATGGGCTCGTCCGGGATTTGAACCCGAGACCTCTCGCACCCAAAGCGAGAATCATACCCCTAGACCAACGAGCCGATTCTGACTATTGAGTTAGGAGAAAAATTAAAAAAATCAGTTTTATTCAGTTTTGCGACTCAATTGACAAGTTTTAAAACAGTATTTAGCAAATCTTTATACAATTCCATTTCAGGGTAATGATTCAGTAAACGAAAACAAAAACTCATCTTTAAACTTTGGAGAAAACTAACAGCCAAAGCGAGTGACCATATTTGTGATTTACTGCCTTGCACTGCAGGGAATTCTCCATTTCATTGCCATTATTGTGTACTTGATGGCACATTCCGATGTGGTCGCAAAATCCCCGGTCAGTATAATTGTGAGAATTTCTATTATTGTTTTTCTGTCGAATTTCATAACTCGAATTGAAATGCAGGCATAATAATGCAATATGTTAAAAAAAGTGGGCTCGTCCGGGTTTTGAACCCGAGACGTCTCGCACCCAAAGCGAGAATCATACCCCTAGACCAACGAGCCGATTTTGACTAATAAGTTAGGAGAGAAATTAAAAAAATCAGTTTTATTCAGTTTTGCGACTCAATTGACAAGTTTTAAAACAGTATTTAGCAAATCTTTATACAATTCCATTTCAGGGTAATGATTCAGTAAACGAAATCAAAAACTCATCTTTAAACTTTCGAGAAAACTAACAGCCAAAGCGAGTGACCATATTTGTGATTTACTGCCTTGCACTGCAGGGAATTCTCCATTTCATTGCCATTATTGTCTACTTGTTGGCACATTCCGATGTGGTCACAAAATCCCCGGTCAGTATAATTGTGAGAATTTCTATTATTGTTTTTCTGTCGAATTTCATAACTTGAATTGAAATGCAGGCATCATAATGCAATATGTTAAAAAATGTGGGCTCGTCCGGGATTTGAACCCGAGACCTCTCGCACGCAAAGCGAGAATCATACGCTTATACCAACGAGCCAGACATACGCTCCACAAACGTATGGATTGTCGGAAAATAATTTATAAATATCTCTTTTCTAAAAGTGTGCAAAGGTTGCCTTATTGATGCAAGTCGAATCTTCAGCAGCCATTTTTCTAACTTTGGTAAAATTATGGGCTCGTCCGGGATTTAAACCCGCGACCTCTCGCACCCAAAGCGAGAATCATACGCTTATACCAACGAACCGATTCTGACTAATGAGTTAAGAAAAACTAAAAAAAATCTGTTTTGTTCAGTTTTGCGACTCAATTGACAAGTTTTATAATAGTATTTAGCAAATCTTTATACAATTCCATTTCAGGGTAATGATTCAGTAAACGAAATCAAAAACTGATCTTTAAATTTCGAGTAAACTAACAGCCAAAGCGAGTGACTATATTTGTGATTTACTGCCTTGCACTGCAGGGAATTCTCCATTTCATTGCCATGATTGTCTACTTGTTGGCACATTCCGATGTGCTCGCAAAATCCCTGGTCAGTATAATTGTGAGAATTTCTATTTTTGATTTTCTGTCGAATTTCATAACTTGAATTGAAATGCAGGCATCATAATGCAATATGTTAAAAAATATGGGCTCGTCCGGGAGTTGAACCCGGGACCTCTCGCACCCTAAGCGAGAATCATGCCCTTAGACCAACGAGCCAGACATACATTCAACAAACGTATGTATAGGTCGGAAAATAATTTATAAATATCTCTTTTCTAAAGGTGTTCAAAGGTTGCCTTATTGATGCAAGTCGAATCTTCAGCAGCCATTTTTCTAACTTTGGTAAAATTATGGGCTCGTCCGGGATTTGAAGCCGAGACCTCTCGCACCCAAAGCGAGAATCATACCCCTAGACCAACGAGCCGATTTTGACTAATAAGTTAGGAGAGAAATTAAAAAAAATCAGTTTTATTCAGATTTGCGACTCAATTGGCAAGTTTTAAAACAGTATTTAGCAAATCTTTATACAATTCCATTTCAGGGTAATGATTCAGTAAACGAAATCAAAAACTCATCTTTAAACTTTCGAGAAAACTAACAGCCAAAGCGAGTGACCATATTTGTGATTTACTGCCTTGCACTGCAGGGAATTCTCCATTTCATTGCCATTATTGTCTTCTTCTTGGCACATTCCGATGTGGTCGCAAAATCCCCGGTCAGTATAATTGTGAGAATTTCTATTATTGTTTTTCTGTCGAATTTCATAACTTGAATTGAAATGCAGGCGTAATAATGCAATATGTTAAAAAAAGTGGGCTCGTCCGGGATTTGAACCCGAGACCTCTCGCACCCAAAGCGAGAATCATACCCCTAGACCAACGAGCCGACTTTGACTAATAAGTTAGGAGAGAAATTAAAAAAAATCAGTTTTATTCAGTTTTGCGACTCAATTGACAAGTTTTAAAACAGTATTTAGCAAATCTTTATACAATTCCATTTCAGGGTAATGATTCAGTAAACGAAATCAAAAACTCATCTTTAAACTTTCGAGAAAACTAACAGCCAAAGCGAGTGACCATATTTGTGATTTACTGCCTTGCACTGCAGGGAATTCTCCATTTCATTGCCATTATTGTCTACTTGTTGGCACATTCCGATGTGGTCACAAAATCCCCGGTCAATATAATTGTGAGAATTTCTATTATTGTTTTTCTGTCGAATTTCATAACTTGAATTGAAATGCAGGCATCATAATGCAATATGTTAAAAAATGTGGGCTCGTCCGGGATTTGAACCCGAGACCTCTCGCACCCAAAATGAGAATCATACCCCTAGACCAGCGAGCCGATTCTGACTAATGAGTTAAGAAAAATTAAAAAAAATCTGTTTTGTTCAGTTTTGCGACTCAATTGACAAGTTTTATAATAGTATTTAGCAAATCTTTATACAATTCCATTTCAGGGTAATGATTCAGTAAACGAAATCAAAAACTGATCTTTAAATTTCGAGTAAACTAACAGCCAAAGCGAGTGACTATATTTGTGATTTACTGCCTTGCACTGCAGGGAATTCTCCATTTCATTGCCATGATTGTCTACTTGTTGGCACATTCCGATGTGCTCGCAAAATCCCCGGTCAGTATAATTGTGAGAATTTCTATTTTTGATTTTCTGTCGAATTTCATAACTTGAATTGAAATGCAGGCATCATAATGCAATATGTAAAAATATGGGCTCGTCCGGGAGTTGAACCTGGGACCACCCGCACCTAAGCGAGAATCATGCCCCTAAACCAACGAGCCAGACATATATTCAAGAATCGTATGGAATGTCGGAAAATAATTTTTAAATATCTCTTTTCTAAAAGTGTTCAAAGGTTGTCTTATTGATGCAAGTCGAATATTCAGCATCCATTTTTCTATGTTTGGTTAAATTATGGGCTCGTCCGGGATTTGAATCCTCTCGCACCTAAAGCGTGAGTCATACCCCAAGACCAACGAGCAGATTCTGACTAATGAGTTAGGAGAGAAATTAAAAAAAAAACAGTTTTATTCAGTTTTGCGTCTCAATTGACAAGTTTTATAATAGTATTTAGCAAATCATTATACAATTCCATTTCAGGGTAATGATTCAGTAAACGAAATCAAAAACTCAGCTTTAAATTTCGAGTAAACTAACAGACAAAGCGAGTGACCATATTTGTGATTTACTGCCTTGCACTTCAGGGAATTCTCCATTTCATTGCCATGATTGTCTACTTGTTGGCACATTCTGATGTGGTCGCAAAATCCCCGGTCATTATAATTGCGAGAATTGTTATTACTGATTTTCTGTCCAATTTCATAACTTGAATTGAAATGCAGGCATCATAATGCAATATGATAAAAATTATGGGCTCGTCCGGGAATTGAACCCGGGACCTCTCGCACCCTAAGCGAGAATCATGCCCCTAGGCCAACGAGCCAGACATACGCTTCACAAACGTATGGATTGTCGGAAAATAATTTATAAATATCTCTTTTCTAAAAGTGTGCAAAGGTTGTCTTATTGATGCAAGTCGAATCTTCAGCAGCCATTTTTCTAAATTTGTTAAAATTATGGGCTCGTCCGGAATTTGAACCCGAGACCTCTCGCACCCAAAGCGAGAATCATACTCCTAGACCAACGAGCCGATTCTGACTAATGAATTAGAGATAAATAAAAAAATCAGTTTTATTCAGTTTTGCGACTCAATTGACAAGTTTTAAAATAGTATTTAGCAAATCTTTATACAATTCCATTTCAGGGTAATGATTCAGTAAACGAAATCAAAAACGCATCTTTAATCTTTCGAGTGAACTAACAGACAAAGCGAGTGACCATATTTGTGATTTACTGCCTTCCACTGCAGGGAATTCTCCATTTCATTGCCATGATTGTCTACTTGTTGGCACATTCCGATGTGGTCGCAAAATCCTCGGTCTGTGTAATTGTGAGAATTTCTATTTTTGTTTTCTGTCGATTTCATAACTTGAATGAAATGCAGGCATCATAATGCAGTATGTTAAAAAATATGGGCTCGTCCGGGAGTTGAACCCGGGACCTCTCGCACCCTAAGCGAGAATCATGCCCCTAGACCAACAAGCCAGACATACATTCAACAAGCGTATGGATTGTCGGAAAATAATTTATAAATATCTCTTTTCTAAAAGAGTTCAAAGGTTGCCTTATTGATGCAAGTCGAATCTTCAGCAGCCATTTTTCTAAATTTGGTAAAATTAGGGGCTCGTCCGGGATTTGAAACCGAGACCTCTCGCACCCAAAGCGAGAATCATACCCCTAGACCAACGAGCCGATTCTGACTAATGAGTTAGGAGAGAAATTTAAAAAAATCAGTTTTATTAGTTTTGCGACTCAATTGACAAGTTTTAAAATAATATTTAGCAAATCATTATACAATTCCTTTTCAGGGTAATGATTCAGTAAACGAAATCAAAAACTCATCTTTAAACTTTCGAGTAAACTAACAACCAAAGCGAGTGACCATATTTGTGATTTACTGCCTTGCACTGCAGGGAATTCTCCATTTCATTGCCATGATTGTCTACTTGTTGGCACATTCCGATGTGGTCGCAAAATCCCCGGTCAGTATAATTGTGAGAATTTCTATTTTTGTTTTTCTGTCGAATTTCATAACTTGAATTGAAATGCAGGCATCATAATGCAGTATGTTAAAAAATATGGGCTCGTCCGGGAGTTGAACCCGGGACCTCTCGCACCCTAAGCGAGAATCATGCCCCTAGACCAACGAGCCAGACATACGCTCCACAAACGTATGGATTGTCGGAAAATAATTTATAAATATCTCTTTTCTAAAAGTGTGCAAAGGTTGCCTTATTGATGCAAGTCGAATCTTCAGCAGCCATTTTTCTAAGTTTGGTAAAATTATGGGCTCGTCCGGGATTTGAACCCGCGACCTCTCGCACCCAAAGCGAGAATCATACCCTTATACCAACGAGCCGATTCTGACTAATGAGTTAGGAGAGAAATTTTAAAAAATCAGTTTTATTAGTTTTGCGACTCAATTGACAAGTTTTAAAATAGTATTTAGCAAATCATTATACAATTCCATTTCAGGGTAATGATTCAGTAAACGAAATCAAAAACTCATCTTTAAACTTTCGAGTAAACTAACAACCAAAGCGAGTGACCATATTTGTGATTTACTGCCTTGCACTGCAGGGAATTCTCCATTTCATTGCCATGATTGTCTACTTGTTGGCACATTCCGATGTGGTCGCAAAATCCCCGGTCAGTATAATTGTGAGAATTTCTATTTTTGTTTTTCTGTCGAATTTCATAACTTGAATTGAAATGCAGGCATCATAATGCAGTATGTTAAAAAATATGGGCTCGTCCGGGAGTTGAACCCGGGACCTCTCGCACCATAAGCGAGAACCATGCCCCTAGACCAACGAGCCAGACATACGCTCCACAAACGTATGGATTGTCGGAAAATAATTTATAAATATCTCTTTTCTAAAAGTGTGCAAAGGTTGCCTTATTGATGCAA